GTTTTTTTTTTTTTATGAAATTCGGTTAAAATTTGTAGATCTACTGTTTTTATATTTTTGTGTGGTATTTTTCGATTTTATTGTGTTAATTTTCGTATTTTTGGGCTAATTTATGTTTTTTTGGGTTAATTTTCGATTTTTTGGGGTTAATTTTTGGTGAGGTGGTGTCGGTGGTGGTGTGTGAAGGTGGGATAGGGGCTGGTGTGGGTGGTTTCGGTGGTGGTGGTTGGTGAATCTAGGTTAGGGTTCGATGGTGGTGGCTAAGGGTGGTGGTGGGTGGGTGGGTAAGGGTTAAGGGGGAGGGTTTAGTACGGTGGTGGATGGGTTAGGGTTAATAGGGAGGGTTAAGTACGGTGGTGGGTGGGTATAGGGGTAAGGGGTAGGTGTGGTGGTGGGTGGATTAGGGTGGTTGGGGCTGGTAGCGGTGGTGCTGGGGTTTTTTTTTATTTGTTTTGCAGCAGTTTTCAACGAACTTTCTAGTGCCGGAAAACCTCTTCCAACTATAAAATTCCGTTGGAAAAACTGTTCTGACGGAAATTCTGTCGGAAAAGATCATTTTTCCTATTTTCCTACAAAAGGTTTTCCGACAACCGGTTCCGACGGAAATACCGTCGGAAACGGGTTTTCCGACGAAATTCGGGGTGATTTCCGTCGGAAATAGCCTGTATTCTAGTAGTGTTTGTTCTCCATTTCCACCATGCTTAGTGAATAGATTCCTTGCTAGGATGACGGTGAAACATGCATGAATGATGGATCATTGCTAATTGTTGGGTTTTGATTGATTGAATGATGTGATTAAATTGGTTGATAGAATTGTGCATGTATTTGAATTGTTAAGGAGTAGCTAACCTTGATTTTCAAGCTAGATTGCATTGTGATCTCTAATGACACGAACCATTGATTTAGGGATTATATTTTTCGATTGAGTTTGATTTGTGATTCTTCTTGCTAGTCATTCATAGAGGAAACCTAGCTTGACTTCTAGGAGACAACCTATTGGATTCTATTGATTGTAATTACTATTTTCCTTTGCAACATTTGGTTGATTGATTTTCCTTCAATTAGCATAACTATCATGATTGTATGTGGATCCTAATCCCTAGTGCTTTTGATATAGATTTTTAATCCAATTTTGTTTTGTTTGTTTAGCTCACTCAACTACACATTCATATACTCTTCGAAATAGCTTAACACATAGACTATAGTGATTGACCCCCCATTCCTCGTGGATCGACCCTCAACTTACCCTATACTCGGTTTAGGTTTGGTTGAGTGTTATAAATTTTGTTGATAAGGTTTTTAAGCATTTAACGACGTGCTTAGACAACCTCCTATCAATAATATTTTTTCCTAATAAACCGAAACCACTAAACCTTTCGAACAAGCTGGAGACTGATGAATTTATCCTTTTTCCGGCAAATTTGCCACAACAAGACCAACATCATACCAGCAACTTAACAAGCTACCCTTAACTAAGCTTTTCTAATTTTATGGTGATTTTCTGATTTGATCAACATGCTTTGATTTTTTCTTGCTGTAAGCAATTTTCGATTACGAAGTTTCGTCGCAATGAACTTCTCCAAGCTTGAATCGGATATTTATTCCGGCAATGGCGAATCAGAAATTGATATTTTCACTAATAAATATACTACTTCAGTGTGGTTGAATTTCAACATCCAATTCTTTAAGAATCAGGTGTCTGCCACTGAAGCTAAAATGAGGAGAGAGAAACTGAGGTGTGATGAGGCTGTGATTATATTGCAGTTGCAAGTGAGAGAAACCTAGCTGTCGCACAAACAATTGGATGCGGACTGTCGTACCTAATAGACTGTGTATATGTAATGACCCAAGACGCCATCCATGTCAAAAAAAAACTATAGTATTTAATATCTATAGATTTGTTGGATTAATTAGAATTAAAGTTAAATTTTAAAAAATCACTTACATATTTTTTAAAATAAAGAGTGCACTCTTGTATCTCAATTACTTGATTACGGTCTTTTAGTTTTTAAAAAAAATTACTAAGTTTTAATAAAAAAGAACTAATAAATTTTTAAAAAATATTAAAAAAAAAATACTAAATTTTGTTGATGAAATAAAACCATCAAAACATTTAGACAAATTCACTAGTGATGATAGCCTATCTTGTGACTAGACGAGGTACTAGTTTAAGATTTGTTTGTATAGGTCCTTTCCTCCAAAATCTTATAACTTTGGTGGAATCTGTTTCTCTATCTTTTCAAAAGTGTTACTCAACTCTTATGAATAGTGTTGAGACTAATATATCCATCAACAAGACAACAAGTTCATTTACATTTTTACCCTTATATTTTTGCTTTTACATTTTTAATAATTAGTTAAGGAAGGCTAAAAGACTTGGTTTAATTGCTTGATAAAATTAGCATTTAAGTTGCTTGTGTTAATTTGTTTTTGTTTTTTTTTTTTTTTAAATAAAAAGCTGTATGTAATTGTAACTGATGCGGGAGCAATAGTCCAATATGGGTTTTGTTGAAAATTCATGGAGTTTATAGAAAGCCTACACTATCTTTTAGTTATTATTAATTATTAGGATTTTGCCTATGAGTTTTTACCTTTCACTTGATAGGATTTTTCCTATTTTTAGGCTTTAAGAGTTTTAGTTATTAGAATATTTATTTGTTTAATTTATTTATGTTAGGATAGATTTAGTAGTTGGTTATAAAAACAATAAGGAGATATATTAGGATTGGGATTCTTAATATTCTATCTTATTTTAGGATATAATTATTAGTTTCCTATCTTATCTTTGTACGATTTTTCACCATATAAATATGGATTTATATCAATAGTGATTTTTAATGAATGATGAGAGATTTGTTTTGGGAATTAACCCTTTGAGCGTTGCTCATTTGATTGTTAATAAAAAACATCACTTGTTACGACTCGTGATCATCTTCTAGTTGTGACTAGGAAGAGACCCTCTATTCTTGCGAGTATAGAGTACTATCCATTTAATTTTCGTGTAATTCTTTAGTTCTTGCTAAAATTCGAAGATCCAATATTATTATAGCTTGCAAGCCTTGTGAGAGTCTTGAGAGATCCACATCATAATGGTATCAGATTTTCAGGTTTTGTGAGTCCTTTCGGCACTTACACGATTTTAGCGTGTTGGTTAGTTTTGTTATCATGTTTCAAGATTTGACAAAATTCGAGGCAAATTTTTTCGAAGAAAGGGAGTATGATGCGGGAGCAATAATCCTATATGGGTTATCTTGAAAATTCATGGAATTTTTAGAAAGCTTACACTATCTTTTAGTTATTATTAATTATTAGGATTTTGCCTATGGGTTTTTACCTTTTACTTGAAATGATTTTTTCTATTTTTAGGTTTTAAGAGTTTTAGTTATTAGAATATTTATTTGTTTAATTTATTTGTGTTTAGGATAGATTTAGTAGTTGGTTATAAATATAATTAGGAGATATATTAGGATTGAGATTCTTAATATTCTATCTTATTTTAGGATATAATTATTAGTTTCCTATCTTATCTTTGTACGATTTTTCACCCTATAAGTATGGGTGCATATCAATAGTGATTTTTAATGAATGATGAGAGATTTGTTTTGGGATTTAACCCTTTGAGCTTTGCTCGTTTGATTGTTAATCAAAAACATCACTTGTTGTGACTCGTGATCATCTTCTAGTTGCGACTAGAATAGACCCTCTATTCTTGCAAGAATTAGAGTACTATCCATTATTTAATTTTTGTGTAATTCTGTAGTTCTTGCTAAAATTCGAAGATACAATATTATTATAGCTTGCGAGCCTTGTGAGAGTCTTGAGAAATCCACATCGGTAACGCTTGATTATGTATGCTAGAGTGACCAACCCTTTTGTATACCAAGAGGTAATTTAGACGTTTTTTTATATACTACATATGCACCTTTACATTTTATAATTTCTTGCAGAAAGTTTTTGTATATCTTTCTATTTGATTCACATGATTGTATTCTATAATTAAATATTTAACCATAACTATTTTTTGTTCTAAACTAAAGCCAACTAATTTGTATAGTTAGATCTCTCAATCAAACTTGACCATATGATAAAATTGTGTTATTTTTTTTAAACCTGATAAATTGAATTATATTAGTAAAAGTAATTATACAATTTTTTTTTTGTATAAGTAAAAGTAAGAGAGAATGGTGTCATATTAAGACAATTTTTATTTTTTTATTTATTATTTTTTTTTTATCATTGGTGGGATAAAAATATGATCATCAAAATGCTAATGAGCAAAAGGAGTGAGAAAGTGAGTAGAAAGAGAATAAAGAAGTGATTTTTTCTTTTTTTTTTAATTATTTTTTCTTTTTTTTATCATTGTTGGCAATGCTTGTTAGTATGTGTTTAAAAGCCTATCTAACAAAGCCTCCAGTATTAGGGCAAGCTTTTACAATACCATAACAACTAAATATTTGCGCGCAACGCGCGCGTAGGCTCACCTAGTTATAATAAAATGCCTACTTAATTTCTCGAAAAAGAAAAAAAAAACGGTTTTTTCACCATATACCCTTGAGTTTTTTGTTTATTCACCATGTACCCCTAAACTTCTTTAAATTCATCATATACTTCTGAATTTTCACAAAAATACACCATATACCCTTGATGACTAATGATTGTTAACTTCGTCAAACATTAGGGTTAATTATGACCCAAAACCACCCTAAATACATTCCCCTACCCCCGAAACCACCCACATTCCTCTTTCCCACCCTAAAACCACCCCTAATTTTCTTTTTTCATCTTTAAAATCAATTATACAGATATGGTTATGGAGATTTAGAGTGTTTTAGGGGTTGCAGAAAGGAGAGAAGTGGTTTCGGGGATGGGGGAAAGAGATTTAGGGTGGTTTCGATGTATAATTCCACTGATCTTTTTCATTAGGGGTATGTGGTGAATTTTTATAACAACTAAGAGGTATATGGTGAATTTGAAAATTTTTAGGGGTATATGGTGAATAAACAAAAAACTAAGAGATATATGGTAAAAAAATCGAAAAATAAATAAATTGAAAACCGAACTTACACGGTTACACCCTACAAGGCCGTTTTGACACATCCCCTCTCATTACCATATCAAACCCAAATCACACACAGGATCAGGCTGGCCATCCTCAAAATGGGTGGGCCGTAGTATACCCAGAATATTCCCCCGATCACTATACACTTTCAGAGTTTCAGTTGATAATCGATGTGCGCGGACTTTCCCAGAAAAACACCAACAGCTCCATTTTATAGCCGCCTACCAATTTCCCCTTTCTTTTATAAGCAACACTTTTGTAGCTACCTTACCTTTACACTTCCATCACTCCATTAAAAAAACAAAAAGAGGAGAGAGAAAGTAAAAGAGATCACCAACAAACAACAATGGCGACTACCAGTTTGGTAAAGCTAAACGCTGCGTCTTCTAATTGGATCGGTCAACACTCCTTCACTCAACGCACCGGATCATCTTCCTCCTCCTCCGTCGCCTTTCCAACTCGCCGAGTCTCCCTTCCCGTCGTCCGCGCTTCCTCTTACGTCGACGAGCTTGTTCAAACCGCTGTAATTTTATCTCTGTTTCATCTATTCTTATTTCATTTTTGAATTTTGATCGTATAATTTTGTCTGAAATATGGATCTATGATTTGATGTTTTTTGTGCGAGTTTCGATGATTATTTGATTTTTGTTATATGATGATTTTTGGTCGCATCAGTGTGTAATTTGGTCTTATGTTGTACGAATTATAATTTTAGATGTAGGTAGGAATAGTCACTATCAGTAATAATTAGTGAAAATTATTCAATTGTCTTACTATTAATGTCGTGTACTTAGATATTCATGAGTGGTGGGCTCGACGGCTTGTTTGAAGGATGGTATATAAGCCTTGAAGTATTATTTATGTGTTTATTACCTTATTATAGTATAAATTTTGTCAAAAACACTAAAAAAAATTTTACATTCTGATCAGGTGAAGAGAACCAAACCTTTATGGTTTTTTTTTTTTTTTTTTTTTTTTTTTTTTTTTTGGGTAATAGATTTGGATCATAATCTGAATCAGATTAGTTGTTAGGTTTGAATCCTGCTGGATGCACTATTAGTCTGATAGATGAAAGTTAATTTAGGCTTGTTCTTGAAATGTCTTTTACGAGTATAAGTTAAAGTAAGTTCATATGAGTTGTGAAAAAGGTCTACAAAGTTTATTTTACTGGTAAATTTTACCTTCGATAAGGTGAAGAGAACCTATCTGATCTTTAGTAATATATTTGGATCATAAAATTGAATTTAAATAATTTGTAGCTTTGAAACCTGCTGGATGAGCGCTTAGTTTGAAAGACAAAAGCTATTATATCCGTGTTCTTGTTATGTTTTTATTCCATAACTTGAGTGTGGTGTGGTGTAGACCGTGTAGTAATGCAAGTTGAACCTGGTATGTTATGGAGTATTTACATTGTCTAATAATTATTGGTTGTTAAGTGGTTTGTCTTGTTGATTTTCTATATGGTTGCTAAATCCCCATGCCTTGGTTTACCCAATGTGAGGAATTTTGTGAGACCAGAAGTGTATTGATGGTGTGCGTGAATGTAATCTAAATGTCCTCTTCTCATGCTATTTTTCTTATTTTTTTAAGAGAATATAATGAATTCATAGGTGTATAGGAGAATAAAAAAAGCCTTTCAAATAGAGTTCTGTAGATGGTTTGTTATGGACCAAAATGTAATTAGTGACATCATGCTTACCAAAGTGTATACCTCTAATATAAGCATTGAATATGCACCAAAAATGCTTCCATCCGAGTTCCCTGCTATCTTTCTAGTCTTCTGAAGACAGTTTTTGATTTCTCTTGTGGTCTGATTCATGCCTTAAGACTTCTTTAATTTACTTCTAATAGTTTCGTCATTGTATCTGTATTTATAATTTTGTTGTAATTCTGCAGAAAACTATTGCCTCTCCTGGACGTGGTATCCTTGCTATTGATGAGTCTAATGCAACTTGTGGAAAAAGGTTGGCGTCTATTGGTTTAGATAACACAGAAGCTAATCGTCAGGCGTACAGGCAGCTTCTCCTTACGACTCCTGGCCTAGGTGAATATATTTCTGGTTCCATCCTATTCGAGGAAACACTTTACCAGTCTACAACAAATGGAAAGAAGTTTGTGGACTGTCTACGTGAACAAAACATTGTACCTGGCATCAAAGTTGACAAGGTATGGTTATTGAAGAAGTTGCTTGTGTCTTCCAAACCTTCATGCTTGTCTTGTATTGTATAACTAATGCTCATTGACGGCGTTGTATTTTCCTCACGTCTTTCGTCTACCTTTCAGGGTTTGTCTCCATTGCCGGGGTCAAATAATGAATCTTGGTGCCAAGGGTTAGATGGTTTAGCTTCGAGATCTGCCGAGTACTATCAACAGGGTGCTCGTTTTGCAAAATGGTGAGCCAAATTCAACCTGTGCTCAACTCGGAATTATTCTCCTATATTGATTTCTTTGGGGTTAGGGGTTGGGGTTTTTGAAATGGTTAGCAAAGTTACTTTTAGTACTGATCCCTTATTCAGATGCTAAGAAGCTAATTTTTGTTTTTCCCAACTTCTGCAAATATCTTGATAATTTGCTTGCTTGATTTTTACAAACATAGGCGTACAGTTGTTAGTATTCCATGTGGACCTTCTGCTTTGGCTGTTAAGGAAGCTGCATGGGGACTTGCTCGTTATGCTGCTGTTTCTCAGGTACACAAAAAGCTTAATGTTTTTCTTTGGAATGTTTTTGGTTTATTTTAGGCAGACTTCAATGTTTGGCGTTGACCAACTCAAAGCACTTAGATTTACAGTGGTCTGTAAATAATTTTGTGAATCATATGTGATATAAGTGTGCACCGTGCTATCATTTTTGTGTGGTGCTCTGGTGCCTTTCAAGTCTAGTCCTGTTTAATTTCCAGCACGGGAGATAAAAACTAAGTTCTTATTGGAAGTCAACAGGCTAGGCAACCTGAGAAGTACAGAAGACTGTCTCATCTAGGCAATGAAGTATTCGTGTTGATCAATTGATAGTTTGGATGTCAGAGCTTTGATAACTGTATATTGTGGACATCTTTTTCATTAAATTCAATTTTAACATAGTATATGAAAATTTGTTAACCAAGAGGTCTTAATGACCTTTTATTTCACAAAGCAAGGCTACCTCCTGTTGGCATCAGCAGGACCTCAATTCCTCAAATACTGTATGATGGAAAATCTAGGGTAATCAAATGAAGCCCAACCTGGTTGTATTTGGGTTATCGCTTCCAAACTTGCCAGTACTCCTAGTTGAGACCTGATGCTGAATAGAGTGATTCTGTGCTTACATTTGTTGAAAAACATGAAGCGTTTGAAGTTCTGAGTTCTGATTGTATTATTGCTTGTTTTATGTACTAAATTTCAAATTATTATCCTTTGGTGAAGCTCAAAGGGTCCAGACAGAAAGTCTAGGCTTTTTTTCTTTTTTCTTTTTTTTGAAATATAAATAAAATGCTGTTAAGGCAGAATTGGAGTCTTCTATGATGTTCTTTCCTTATGAAGAAAATTTCTCATGTTCTTTATGCAAGTTGAATTAGCTAATATAGTGGTACAAACCTGTGTAAGAGTAGGTTCTCCGTTCTTGTATAGATGGTAGTTTTTTGGACATGTTATTGACTTCAATGTATTGCTTCATAAGTTGATTCCTGCATCTGATTAGTCCGTCAAATTTATTATTTTTGTAATTGCTTGTTTATGCTTTAGGACAATGGCCTTGTTCCCATTGTGGAACCAGAAATCCTTCTTGATGGTGACCACCCAATCGAGAGGACTCTGGAAGTTGCTGAGCGGGTGTGGGCTGAAGTCTTTTTCTACTTGGCTCAGAACAATGTTGTTTTTGAAGGAATCCTTCTAAAGCCAAGCATGGTTACCCCAGGAGCTGAGCACAAAGAAAAGGCTTCTCCAGAATCCATTGCAAAACATACACTTCAAATGCTTAGGAGGAGAGTGCCTCCTGCTGTTCCTGGAATCATGGTATGCTGCTCTTAAACTTTCTTTCATTGTTAATTCCTTAAATCGGCATAGGTTTTGTTGCTGACACACATGACCGTTGTGGAGAAAAATTGAAGACTGGGAAGGTGGGAATTAAAATGAATAATTATATACATACAAGGAACATGAGCTAAATCAATCATTTGAAGCTTCTTTAATACAAGATTGGGTGCAAATGGTGAAACCCGGGCATACAACTGAAATGACTCCCTCTTGATAGCCTCCCCTGCCTGTAAACAATTGGACGAGACAGGTTCCTGAATTATACTTTGTGTATTGAAAAGACAAAGGAGACTTTAGACCCTAATTTATTGATAGCAATCAAGAAAAGGATAGTATGAGGGTGGGGAAGAGAAGATCCATGGAAAACCCTAGATCTCAATTGTGTAGATAGGAGGAGGGGATTAAAAGTGAAGGGGAGAAAGTGACTTAGATAGGAGGAGGGGATTAAAATGAAGGGGAGAAAGTGACTTAGATAGGAGGAGGGGATTAAAAGTGAAGGGGAGAAATTGACTTAGATAGGAGGAGGGGATTAAAAGTGAAGGGGAGAAAGTGACTTAGGGGTGCAGTTCATCCAACGACTGTCTCTGCCTAGTATTGTCTTTTATTGCCCCGTCGAATCTTCCCAACTTTGAAAAGTTATGTTTGTGTTCATTATATTGGGACCTAGGAAGGCAAATGAATTACTCCTATTATCTTCCATCCTTTCTTCTGGTCCAACCTAGTTCTCCATTTCCCTTTCCTCATCCAAACAAACCCTAAGTTTTCCTCATTTCGTGCTTTCTTAACTGGTTAATAAATTCTGTCACTGGGAGTTTTCAAATGAACTATCTGTGTCTAATCCTATGAATTTTTGATATTGTGGCTGAGGGTTGACCTACTTTCTAATTAGCTTGGTGTCCAGCTTTATGAGCTCTGCCTTGACTTTCACTTTGCTTTCCCATTATTTTACTTGTTCATGGTATTCATCTGAATGCGGCTTCATGTATTGGTCCATGTTCCTTTTTACCCTTTCTTTCTCCCCCAGTTTTCAACTGATATAGTTAGGTTTCAGGTAAAAGGGGGTAAAAGTAAATAGGGGCAGTGAAAGGTTGGTATGGCATGCTCTTGTAAGGGTTAGAAAATCGATTATTATAAGGATTAAAAAATTGATCATTATTGTCTACTGATTCCTTGATTGTGATTGTTTTTGTCAACTACGTGTTCAAAGAGATCTAATATCATTTTCCCCCCTTTGTTTCAGTTCTTGTCTGGAGGTCAATCCGAAGTAGAAGCAACCTTAAACCTTAATGCAATGAACCAAAGCCCCAACCCATGGCATGTCTCTTTCTCGTACGCTCGTGCACTACAGAACAGTGTACTTAAGACATGGCAAGGACACCCCGAGAACGCAGAAGCTGCCCAGAAAGCTCTTTTGGTGCGTGCCAAGGCAAATTCCCTTGCTCAACTTGGGAGGTATTCTGCCGAAGGGGAGGATGAAGAAGCCAAGAAGGGTATGTTTGTCAAGGGCTACACCTACTAAGGATAGAGTTTGGAGCTATCTATAAGTACCATTGTTAGAGGTGTATTTCATTTTCTCCTCACTAATTACTTGATGTGACCGTCAAGACTGTTACAAGAGCAAGAGTATTGTTTTAATTAGATCGTCACTTGCATTTCCCCTCGTATTGTTGTATGGAAGTAAGAGGTGTTTGAATGTCTGCTTGTTATCGCCTCTACATTGGCATGAGAATAGGTAATGGATAAATCGGGAATAGTGAGGTTTTTATACCCTATCTCTAATTATTTTCTTTCTTACTAAACAAGTAAGAGATTTTGCATTTCCGACTCTATTCATTTATTTTTGGTTCAAGTTTAAGTACAAATTAATCAACATTTTATCTTTTTGCTATTATACTAAAATAAATTTTAAGCTAAACAATTGCACAAGTATTATCTGTCATTTAATTGGAAACTGGAAGTCTGGAAAGCTTAAAATAAATCAAATTTCTCCTATAACTAATCAAATACTTTGCTCCAACACAGCGATATCCTATCTCCTTCTCGATTACCTCCCAAAGCCGATACTCATTGGAAGCAATCTTAATATAATCAGACTCTAACTATTCCATGGTAGTTTTTCTTATTTAAAACGTATGGCCACATTACAACGAATTCGTATATATTTACAATAGGAATATCAAACTCTAATATTCCTAAATATCTTAACTTCTTAAAATAGACTTTGTATCACATTAGCTAACATATATCTTTTCATAAGATATTTTTCAAAATATTATTTATTGCAATAATATCTTTTAATTTAATTCTATCTCTTAATATCACATTCCTCAAAAAAAATCTCTTAATATCATATCAATATACATTCATATGTCAAAACTATACCACAGCAAAGGGAACAAAACGGAGCTAGATACTTCGTAATTGTAAAAGTTAACAAATTAAACCTGCTGTTTTTGTAGCAGGTCGTAAGTATCAATTACAAGTATTTACGACGTATCATTCAAGAGATTGCAATCTATTACGGAGTACTCTCCCTTACTTTAATTTGTACTTCGTAGAGTAAAGACAACAATAAAATAACAATACGAAAAAATCATACAGTATTTGATAACAAAAAGATTGGCAGTAGTACCACATTTTTTATAACAAGAAGATATTTGATAACAAGAAGATTGCTGTCAAAAAAAAAAAAAAAAAAAAAAAAAAAAGGGGGGGTTTTCTACGTAGTAACCTCGTTTTTTCACTTTTCTACGCTGTGACCTAACATATATGGCTTTCTACGCTGTAACCTAAAATACGAAAAGTCACTACATTGTGACCTCGCCGTTAGACTGCCGTTAGTTGCTTCCGTTAAAAACCAAAAAATATTTTTATTTTTTATTTTTTTCATTTCCCCTTCCCCTTTCCCTTCTTCCCTCCATAACCACCAGAGTTGCTTCCACCATCCCCTTTCCATGCTTCCACAATCGCGACCACCACCAACATGACCCCAACCCCCCAGAAATAATCAAAGAGTGTCCGCCAAACATTACTAAACTCAAAATCGTGCTTCAAACACAAAATAATAAAAGGCCAAATTTTCAGAATTGAATTAAAAATTAGCAAATATTAAACATAACAATGTATATAAATAATCTCTAAGATCTATAATATTCATTAATCAAACCCATATTAGACCATAAATCGCCAGTACTCAATTTGGGGGAAAAAAAATCAAAACCTTACTTCAATAATATCGAAATAAAGAGTGATGATACAATTAAAGTTGAGTAGAGAATACGCATTTAGTAGTGAAACGAAATGTTCAATCATATATCACAGTAATACAAAATAATTCAAATTAACTAGTTTTAAAAGTCAAATTCGATAATGTTATTGATATGAATGTGCCCCAATTTTCAATCCAAAATACCCGAAACACAATAAAACCATCCAAAATTGGATTATTGTGAATAAAAATTGAGACTTGGAAGAAAATATACCTGCAAATCACTACCAATTATGCAATTAATATCCGACCTTGGGATTCTTCGGAGCAAAAAACTGTTAGCCATGGATGAGTAGCTTTAGAGGAGAGAGAAAAAGGAATTGGAGTTCTACAGGGAGGAGAGAGAGCGAATGCCAACCAGTTTCACGGGGTCTGGTTTGGTGGGCTTTTGATTTTTCGAAGGGGGTTTTGGGTTGGCTGTCTGGTTTGGTGCGGTGGTTCCAGAGTCTGATTCGGTGGCGGTGGTTCCTGGGTTGGCTGGGGTCTGGTTTGGTGGCAATGGTGGTTCTGGGGTCTGGGTTTAGCTGCAGCGCCGGCACCGGGGGAGGGGAAGGGGAAGGGGGTCTGGGCGGTGATGGTGGTAGTCGCGATTGTGGGAGCAGGGAAAGGGTATGGTGGTGGGGATGGTGGAAGCAACTCTGGTGGTTATGGAGGGAAGAAGGGGAAGGGGAAATGAAAAAAATAAAATAAAAAATTATTTTTTGGGTTTTAACGGAAGCCACTAACGACAGTTTTTAACGGCGGGGTCATAATGTAATGACTTTTCGTACTTTAGGGTTATAGCAGTTAGGTCACAACGTAGAAAAGTGAAAAAAAACGAGGTTACTAGGTAGAAAACCCAAAAACAAAAAAAACAAGAAGATTGTCGGTAAACAATTATTACAAAACTATCCCATCACGAGTAAATAAACACAACCAAAGATCAAGGGCAAAAAATAAAAATGGCAATTTATCAGTTTCGCTAATAATGAAATCCGCAATACTTAACACATCATCTTCATTTACGACTACATTCTTCAAGTCACAGCCTAAATTGTTGAATAATAATTTGAGGACTAATTAATCTCTTTGACCTTCAAAGCAACTCGACTCCTTAAACCCTCTAACGCAACCTTAAATCGCTCAAGATCATCTAAACCCATATCCTCAATAGGTTGCGCAAGAACTTCCTCATATGATCGAAACGTAGGAAAAGCACGCTGAATTATTTCGTCTGCATTAGGGTGTCCGAAAGAGTACACCTTTCCTGCAGGAGAGAATGTAACAACCGCACACTCAACGCCGCACGTTGAACACAACTCGCTCGCCTTCCTGAATAACCCGGCACGGCGTTTCGAGAACGTAACTTGTTTTCTGGATTTGTTATCGATCGGAATTATGTCGATTTTCCTTTTGCCTTTACCACTGATTTTTCCCACAGCAGCCATTGAAGAAGAATAGAGTATGAACCCTAATAGGCTAGTACTTCGGGAAGTTTGTTTTAATGATTTTTTTTTTTTTTTTTTTTTTTACGAAATACCTTAAATAAATAAATGGAGAAAGTAGATGAATTGGGGTGTATATATAGAAATCACAGCACCGCCATAACTCTAACTTTGGCGGTTAAAAAAAACAGGAAAAAGATAAAACGATACAGAGTGCAAGATAAAAACCAAGCAGACTAAAATAAAATACCACTGCTTTCAAAAAAAAAAAAAAAAAAAACCACTAGTACCACATTTTTAATTACAGCAAAAATACTCAATTACCCATTTAATTTGCCACATGTAATATTTCCTAAAAAATCATGACTTTAAAATTATGATTATGATTTTCCCGGAAAAAAATACTAAATAAATTATGATTTTAAAAAGATTGAATCAGAGGTTTGAGGGCTTTGAGGCAACACAAAATACAGCCAATACTTCTAGTTTAATGGGTCATGAGCGCAAATTTTAACATGCACCATGGTGCATACTTCCTCCGTTATAGTATTATTGTAACAATTGAACTTTGCACTATTCAATAGGCTTGTTTGACCACAAATTATGATTTATACGTAAAGTAAAATATAGTCATGTGGGGTCTTGTTAAATTCGTCTCGTAAAATACTTTCACAATATCAACCTTTTATAATTTTCACTCTTATAGAATTATAGATATTTAACATATAAAATGTGATTTAGGATGCGTAATTTCATCCTTGTTGCAATATTTGTGGAACAAAGGAAGTATAAATCTGTGTGCTCCAATATTAAACGAAGAGTTTCATTGCGTGTAGACCAACAATAGCTTCCTTCTTTAAATATATTCTCTCTCTTCTCTTCTCTCCTCTTCCTCTTACACTTTATTTCCTAATAATTTTTTATTTCTCTTTCCTCTATTTTTCTCTCTCTTAAATTCATTCATTATTTTGTTTTTGATTTTATTCCTTCATCACCATAGTTGATCACCATAGATTGAATTCCTTCATCACTCTTGTTGATCACCATATATTAAATTCAAATTTCATTATTTTCAACCTTCAATTTGAAGCTTTGTTAATAGAGTTTCTGCAATGAAGTGAAGTTGAAAATGGCGGCTTCAACGAGGAGAAGGTGGTTAAGACGACGGAGATGATTATTTTCCGATGAGATTCTATTATCTAAATCTCCATGCCTAGGTTTGAGTTTTGGAATATATATATATGTAGCTTTCATATTCTTTTGATTTTTTTTGTTAGTGATATTTGTGTATTTTATTATGAACAGTTCTGTTTTTGGTTATATTTTGGTATTTTGAACATTTTAAGTTATAAAATATGAACGTATGATACGTTTCCTATAAATATATATTTTTACTGACATATATTTTGGAATTATGAACATCTTAATTATAATTCTGAACATGTGATACATTACTTATGAACTTTTTTTTTTGTTTTAGATCTATGTTTTAATTATTTCAAAAAATTTGGCATTTTGTACTTTATAATTTATATATCTGAACATTGATTCTTTGCATATGAAAATTTATTTTGTTTTCGATTTATGTATTTTTAAAACCTTTTTAAGTTTTGTAATTACGAACCTATTATGTTAGATATCTGAACATGAATATGTTTTTTATGAACATTATATTTTAGTTAAATCGATATATGAACATACACTAGTAGAAAAAACTAAATAGGCACCCCCCCTATGGCAGCGGTTCATGAAAACCGTTGCCAACTAAAATGAGCGCCAATTAAAATTTCAAAGTTGGCAACGGTTAACCGTCGCCAACTATTTCTTTTTTTTAAAAATAAATAAATAAATAAATAGGTTAGAGTTGGCAACGGTTAACCGTTGCCAACTCTTAAATTTTGGCAACGGTTAACCGTTGCCAAATACTTATTTTTTTAAAAAAATAAATAAAAATTAAAAGGGTTAGATTTGGCAACGGTTAACCGTTGCCAATTGTGAAAAAAAAAAAACTCGGTTTTTCCTTTCTCAAGCCTCCTGTATACTCCCTCCTGTTCTTCGTTCTTCTTCAATTCATTAAAAAACATTGACGCGCGTTTTCCCTCCCCCCTTCTTCATTCAACAACTCCCCTCTTTGTTCCTCCATTGAAGTGCTGCGAGCTTTCTCACCTCCGTTGAAGACAATACTCGCGTCGTACTCCGGCAATAACTCCCTCCATTGAAACATCTTCAACTGAAGGTAAGTAGCAATTAGGTTTTACTTATATACTTCCATTGATGAATTCGTTCGACTTTTTGGTGGATTTAGGGTTTCGAATCGTGTAATGTTGTTTGATTGATTTGTTTTTTTCAATTTGGTTGTTCTTTGTGGTTTTCGGCTTCTGGGCTATTTGGGTTTAAGGAATTTAGTTTTGATAGTTTTATGGGTTTAGGGTTTTAATTGCTGTGCTACATTGTTGGCAATTTGTGTCATTTATGTGCTTCAATTAATCTATGTTTGTTGAAATTTTGAGTTAATGGTCAATTTGGAAGCATGATGATACGGCATTTCTGCAATGTATATTGATTTATACGATCTTTTCGTGCTTAGTGATGTTCTTACTAGATGACTAGTTGATGCATCATTTTGATTCTATCTTTGTTGAATTTTTTTGTTGTTGGTTATTGCCTACAATATTGAAAATTGTTGAATATTCCAAAGAAGGGAAACTAAGTATGAGCTACGAATACTAAATTAATGGTTTCAGATATGATTCATGACGCCGAGGAGTGTGAATAAATTGTGATTGTTGCATTATATTTTATTTTGGGTTTAGTTGTTAGCAAAAAAAAGTTTGAAGCAGTTTGTTAATTCTTACAAGGGTACTCAATTTAAGCAGCTAGTTTGACTGTAGTTATTGTCAATTTATCATGGTTGGTGTGGATGATACTTGTTGAATTTGCTTGTTTCTTATCCTATTTGTATAGAGTATAGATATCACAATCCCGATGGTTAAATTTGAAAATTATATATGAAGTGCTAGTGCTAGTGTAAATTCATAATGGAATATATAAAAATCTGTGTATTGGTTAAAAGTGTAATTGACTGAGATGCCAGGTTGCTTAGTATGAAGTATATCTTAACTTTCACCTCCTGTTATTACTGAGACATTGTAATTTGTTTTTTTTTGGAAATAGGCTAGTTTTGTTGCTAATGCTGCTAGTTACAAAGTTGTGATGTCATATTTTTTATGCTGTTTGTAGAAGATAATTTTGTAGAAGAAATGGGCCGAAGGCTCTGAAACCAACTCCAGTTATAGTCCGATGCAAGTAAGGCATTTCATCTGATATCTTTCTGAAATTTTGATCTTTGAGTTGACATTCTTGACAAAACATGTGTTTATGAACTGCATATAAGATATGTGCTTTACATTCTTTTGGTTCTTCTATGGAGTTACAAGTAGATAAGAGTTTTGATTTGGGATTTGTTTTGCAACTCTCGTAAGATAAGCAATGGAAACATGTCCACTCCTTCACAACATTTTAATATTGAAGGGGGTGTGTTACACTGAACTTATTCTCTTAATTAGATATCATATCCAATGTGAATATACACGAGAGTGGATAGTGAATTCAGTGGCAAAATTAGGATGTTTATTTATCTATCTGTAGTTTCAAGAAGTTTTTCATTCCAGTTATATGTGAATGTTTATTTGATTGATTGCCACTTTGAGAACAAGGCTATTATTGTTCACTTAAAATAGGATATTTCACAGGAAATATTGTCTCAATCACAGTTCTTTATCCATGAGAAGGAGCCAAATTGAATTTTCACACACTTTTGTTTAATTTTCTAATATCTTTTGTGATTATGTGTAAATGATTACCATTCACTTGTGCAGAAATATGATGTTTTGTTTGAGAGGAATGGAAAACAAGGGAGCTTTTACCTCCAATCGAAGGTCATTCCTACTAACTAACCCCAATTATTATTGAGCCATTTATGAGTTCAATAGACAAGAAATATAGAAAATAGGCATCCTAGTAGCCAAAATGGCCTTACTTGAGCCATTTTGGTTGAAATTGCGTTCCAAGACCACTTACTTGCTCTTTTCTTGTAATCTCAAGCATTAGGCACCTATAAATAAGTGATAATGACATGTTTTAACTAGTTATGATTTCAATATACAAGAATTATAGAAAATAGGCATCCTAGTAGCCAAAATGGCCTTACTTGAGCCATTTTGGTTGAAATTGCGTTCCAAGACCACTTACTTGCTATTTTCTTGTAATCTCAAGCATTAGTCACCTATAACTAAGTGATTATGACATGTTTTAACTAGTTATGAGTTCAATAGACAAGAAATATAGAAAATAGGCATCCTAGTAGCCAAAATGGCCTTACTTGAGCCGTTTTGGTTGAAATTGCGTTCCAAAACCACTTACTTGCTCTTTTCTTGTAATCTCAAACATTAGGCACCTATAACTAAGTGATTATGACATGTTTTAACTAGTTATGATTTCAATATACAAGAATTATAGAAAATACCTAGTAGCCAAAATGGCCTTACTTGAGCCATTTTGGTTGAAATTGCGTTCCAAAACCACTTACTTGCTATTTTCTTGTAATCTCAAGCATTAGGCACCTATAACTAAGTTATTATGACATGTTTTAACTAGTTATGAGTTAAATAGACAAGAAATATAGAAAATACCTAGTAGCCAAAATGGCCTTACTTGAGCCGTTTTGGTTGAAATTGCGTTCCAAAACCACTTACTTGCTATTTTCTTGTAATCTCAAGCATTAGGCACCTATAACTAAGTTATTATGACATGTTTTAACTAGTTATGAGTTAAATAGACAAGAAATATAGAAAATACCTAGTAGCCAAAATGGCCTTACTTGAGCCGTTTTGGTTGAAATTGCGTTCCAAAACCACTTACTTGCTATTTTATTGTAATCTCAAGCATTAGTCACCTATAACTAAGTGATTATGACATGTTTTAACTAGTTATGAGTTTAATAGACAAGAAATATAGAAAATAGGCATCCTAGTAGCCAAAATGGCCTTACTTGGGCTATTTTGATCGAAAATGCGACCTAAACCCTTATATTGCTATTTTCTTGTAATTTCATTCCTTAGTCACATATAACTAAGTAATAATGTCATGTTATTATTATGAGTAAGTATGAGTTCACTTACGTTTTGTGTATTATTCCAAGTTTTGTTCGGGTCATTCCTACTAAGTAACCCCAATTATTATTAATTCACTTCTATTAACTCACATTTTGTGTATTCTAAGTTTTGCAAGGGGCATAGGACAACCATACACGAGCGAGGAACTCCATGTAATTCGAGAGATGTTGGCGACCTACATCACATTTAATTTGTAAATATCGTTTACTAGCTAGCTACTTCATCAATCCTAGCCTTAGCTTACTAATTATGTACTATACATTATTATAACTAATTAAAATTGTTTGTAGGTAACATGACACATTTTTCTAATTAATATCATCTCTTGCGATTGTTATTATTATTTATGTTTTGTTATTAATAATACTAATTATTATTACTATTATAATAATAATTATTATTATTTAACATGTATATATTATTATTGCAGCCAAAAAAAAAAAAAAAATACAGGTCAATGGCAACGGTTAACCGTTGCCAATTTATTTTTTATTTTTTAAAAAAAGGCGCCATTGTAGTTGGCAACGCCAACTCAAGCAATTGGCAGCGGTTAACCGTTGCCAATTATTTTGGGATTTGGCAACCCTCAAATACGCAACGGTTCAAAACCGTTGCCTTTGGGGGGGTTTGAACCGTTGCCAATTTGCTCTTTTCGTGTAGTGATAAGTTAATTTGGATTAAGGAATTATGAACCTCAATTGGGATTTGATATATAAAATGAACATTTAGTATATTTCAAATGAACATTTAGTACATTATAATGAACATAAAAGAATTTATAATGAATCAATATGATCTATTTTTCATTAACAATTATCTATATAAGTTTCTGAACATGAACATATAAAAAATGAACATTACACTATTAGAATTTGAACATATAATTTTTGAAAATAAACATTGAAAATTTTAAATATAATCATTATACTATAATATATTGAGCATCAATAAATATGAACATGACACTACTCAAATTTGAACATTTATTATTTGAAAATGAACATTGAAATTTTAAATATGAACGCAACTATTTTCTAATGTACATCAATTTTGTGAAAGAAGTTTGTCTGAATCGAGATAATTCAATAGTTTTGTAATATAAACTGAACATTTAGAGTACATAAAATGAACATTTCATTATAAAATATAAACGTATAAAATTGGATGTTTATGTTCATTTTTTGTGACGTGTTCATATTTATTTACTAAATGTTCATTTTTTGTAAAGTGTTCATATTATAGACGAGGTGCACCTATTTCTAGGTGCACCATGGTGCACATAATAACTATTGGGTCATGGGTATAATATTCACTAGTAGAAAAAATGAAATAGGCACCCCTCCCTTTAGCACCGGTTCGTGAAAACCGGTGCCAAAAGAAATGGGCGGGATTGAAAAATTCAGAGTTGGCACCGGTTCCAACCAAAACCGGTGCCAATCATTTAATTAGCACCGGTTCAAACCGGTGCCAACTTATAAAAAAAATATTAAAAAAAAAAAAATAAGTATGGCATAGAGTTGGCACCGGTTCGCCTTAAACCGGTGCCAACTATGTTAATTAGCACCGGTTTAAACCGGTGCCATTTTTGAAAAAAAAAAAACCGGGTCTTCTTCGTTTTCATTTCATTTCCCGTACTCTTTCTTTCTCTTGCTTTCATTTCCTCGATCTTTCCTCTTCTCAAATCATCTGCCTCTCTCTCTCCTCCATTGAAGCGTACTCGAATTTCTCCATTGAAGGGGCTTCTGAGTTTTCTCCTTTCATTCGATCTTTCCTCTTCTCATACTCTTTCTTCTCTCTTTCATTCGATCTCCTTTTCCTTCTCTCTTTCTACAATATTGGAGGTTAGGGTTTCTGGGTGCGTCTATTTTGAATCAATTCGTTGGTGTTTAAATATAGGGATGGTGTTTTTTGTGTGATCCTCTTGATTGAGTGACCGGAAATTATTGGTGTTGGTGAACTTTAGGAGAGGGATTTGGAAAGGAGAGAAGGGAAAGTGTAAGAGATCTTGTCTGATAGGTTAGGGAAATCGGGGATCTGAATTGTGATGACTGGATTGTATTAAGTTGGAATCATTCGAAATGGAGCTTGTCCTTGTATATTAACCTTAGTGGCTGTGTTTTGTGCACATGCTTGTTTGCTCATGATCATGTGAGTCTTATAATGGAATCCTGGACAATTTTTCATTGCTCGTACCAGTAAAAAAGCAATCTTAACCAACTTTGTCTGCCATTTCCTTTGTACTTTCAGCAAAGTATCTTGTATCTATCTTTGTTTGTTCTGGGTGCTATGATTATTGCTATCACATTGCCTATCGAGATGTATAGAGTCTTGATGCATAATTGCGTATTACATTCATAATATCTTTGTAAATTGTGTTAGCTTATATTTTTAATGCGTTCTAGGCAAAACAGAGGAAAAGACTTTCAATTAGTGAACTATCTGACAGAGCAGCCAAAGTTCTTGGTGATCATCAGACAGAATCTGTCTTTGGTAGTTTTAGAAGACCAGCTTCCAGAAATGAGTTGTAAGTATGTGCATCCTTTGCTTTGAGTTATGCTGGATTTTTTTTTTCTTCATTCGTAACATGACGATTTGCTCTTCCATAGAACTATTGATTATTTTCTTTAAACGTTTTACCTTCTGCTGAATGTATGCAATGATGTCTTCATTAAATTCTTATCGTCATATTAGTTTCTGTAACTATCTACCTTGTATATTGTGTGCGTGTTTGGGGCTATAGAACTCCCTATAATTTTGTAAATATGAATCTTAATTGATTTTCTTACCCCCTTGCGTATGTGGCAGTGCCGTGTAGATACTTATTTGATATTTGTGTTCTTTATAGTTTATACTGCTTATTTAATAGTTTCCTCCAATAAAACCAAGGTTGAAATTTGTGAACAAAGAATAATCGATGTGGATCATGATGAATTGATTATAAGGAAAGATTAACCACTCTTTCTTCTTTGCTGACATCATAGGTTGAAAGCTAATAGGGCTATAAAGCTGCTTAAAAAGAGGGCAATGTCAAAAGAAGAGAAGATATCTGCTGCAATGGCTGCTGGACTTGATTGGGAAAGTGATGATTCAGAAGATGAAGTTCCAGTAATAATTGTTCACCTTAAAACATCAATTTCTCCTGGTGAAAAATTCTGCTTTTTTTTGTATTTGATTATTCATTACACTTTTCTTTGGGATGGGTTCAGCAACAACCACTGAAGGAGCCTCCATTGCCCGATCTCTTCAAGGACGAGGAGCATTATAACCTCATTTCAGATGTCAGTCTTTATTTCGCGACAATTTTGCTAATGTTGCTTGCTTGAATAATAAAACTGCATTGATTCATTTTTTTTTTATACCAGTGCTACTATCCTTCTACTGGCCAAACTTTAATTCTTACGTACTTTCTAGGATGTTGTATGCTTCACTTGAATTTCTCGTTCAACTTCTTTGATTTTACTTATCTCGCAATATCTGATTACACTTATTAGGAAATAGTGAAATTTTTCTAAGTGTATTTATTGAGAGTTACTGACAGATAGATCATTGACTTTGGTTTTAATTGACACACACCAGCTTGTTTTGTAGGGTAGAATTTATGTTGCAGGCTTCTGTCCAAACTCTAATTACTAATTTACTACCTCTATCCCATTTGTATATAAGGAAAACATATTCGTGTTGGATGTTGTTGGATTCATTTCAATGTGTATTTTCAAAATACAAATTTTATAATTCTTAATATTACACAAATAAAGATATCAATGGTCTACAATGTTGCTGTTTTTGCATTCTTTTCTAGTCTTTTTGTCTATTGTGTGCTGCTGCAGGCTGTGTTCTACTGTGATGCTGAGCTTGTCAGTGTGCTGGGGTTGTTTGACTGTTCCTGTGCCTGCTCAGAGCTTCTGTTTTTTCTGTCCCTGCTGGTTTGCTATGGTCTGTCTTTCTGCTGGCCTGTTGTGTAGCTGTTCTGCGTTCCTGAGCTTGGTTCTGATGTGGTGGCTAAAGTGCTTGTGTCTTTGCTCTGGTGCAGTTTGTGTTTCTGTGACCCTGGGACTGTTCTGCTATGGTTCAGATTGCTATGATGCTGTTTGCGTTTGGTCTGGTCAGTTTTTCAGTTGCGGTTTTGCTGATTTGCTTTGCTCTGATTCTGTGTTGCTGAGTGCTAGGTTTTATGGGCTGATCCTTGAAGCATTCTGCTCATCTGGTGCTGTCTGACTGCTGTTCTTCAGGGACCTACTGGTGCCTGCTCTGCACTGGTTGGGCTGCTGGTTTGGGTGCTGTACAGTAGTGGTGTGGTTTGGTGTTGCTGTTTTGGTGGGCTGCGAGGTTGTAATATTATTTAATTTTTTTTGGACGAAAATTGTAATATTACAACCTTTTTTAATGAAAATATGTAACTTTATATATATATATGTTAATGTTTCTATATCAATTTAAGTGAAAAAATGCAAAAAAAAAAATTGTTTTTTTGGGGTATTTCTGGCACCGGTTTGGACCAGAACCGGTGCCTAAAGTGGGGTTTTTTGCACCGGTTCTTGCTTAAAACCGGTGCCAATAGTGTTGATAATAAAAAAAAAAAATTAGCGCCTTTGAAGTTGGCACCGGTTAATCAAAATTACGCACACGAATATCTAGAATCTTTCAAGTCTCATCCACTCATTCTAAAGTCAATTGCCAAAATAAACTTTAGGAATCAAAGTTAGAAATCCTCCCCAGTAGAGTCATAAAAAACTGTAGGGAATATTTCAACACTCAACTTTGAGCCCCACTTTGATCATGCACTCAAGCATGGTGGCATCCAAAGGGAAAGAAGCTAAAGCAAAAGAGTCACCAACAAGTTTTAGGAACTTGTAAACCGTTCACGGGTGTGAAGGTTACACCCCATTCACGATCACGGAGATCGCTAACTCCATAGTGGTTCGGAACCATGACTAGATATTCGGGGATGATGGTACGAATCTAACCTAAAAGAGATTGAACCCATCCTAAATCAGCCTCTACTTAATTCTTATGATATTCATGTGCGCTTTCCAATCAACATACATACAACAAGGTAACCCTAAACCTGTTTAATCTACGTTGGTAGATTATTAATGCACAAATAAATCTATTATTGGTGATCACTTGAATTAAAATCATATTAAACCTAAACCAAATTATTAATTATCTTATTAGGCGTGATTTCAAGTACAATTTCCCTTTAAACCTGCAGAAAAGGGCGTGATCAAGCAATAACAATAAATAATAATCATAATCAAGCAATGTATAATAATTATAATTGACACAACTATCATCATAATCAATATAATCATAATCTCATAAATAGTATAATTAGCAAGATCGTAGGCATGATACTAAACAGATTAATAACAAACCCTAGCATATCACTAAATAATAAGATCAAAGTATTAGCCTAAACATGATACTAGGAAGCATGATATTAGAAATATTAGCTAACACCCTAAACATGATACTAGCAAGCATGATAATATTAGAAATATCAACTAAGCATCCTAACATGATACAAGGAATTAAAATAAACATGTTATTAGGAATTAAAATAAACATCCTAACATGATACTAGGAATTAAAATAATATTCTAAGCATGATTTCTATATCAAAAGCAAGGAATAGTAGATCTACTCACTTTGATGCCTTATATCTCTTTCTATTAAAACAGTAACTTCAAGAAAGGAATAAATCAAACAAATTAATAAATCAAATAAAAATTGAAATATAGATTTGGGACCAAACCCTCAGAACTATCAACCTTTCACGTCGAGGTCGAAGGCAACTACGAGAAGGGCTTGTTGTATTCAAGTCTCGCAAAGGACGTATGGTGTTTGATGTGTTTAGGCTAAGGCTTAGAAAGAGAGAGAGAAGCTTATATTTAGAGAGGGATTAAGATGATGATTGTTGGTGATCAAGATTGTTGATTATTGGTTGTGAATGAAAACGGAGGAAAACAACCCTATTTATAGGAAAAAACGATGGAAAAGATCAGAAAAAGGGTCAGAATTCGGCTCGAAGTAAAACACCTTTCATCGCGTGGCAATGATTTCATTGCGTCGCGATGCTTGTATCGCTGCGCGATATTAGCATCGCTGTGCGATATTTCCATTGCTGCGAGATGCTTTTCAGAAGATAAGATTCGTACGGAATCCGACTTCCAATCAATTTGGGTTAGTCGAATATCCGTACTTATCCTTATTTTATCATAATTAAATCTATTGAAAACAAGGGTTTTATCCGATATAAAATTCTTAGCCTTTATCTTTTCAAAAAGAGGATAAATTGGAATCTTCTAGAAGATTCCAAAAGATAATAATTAATCCTAATGGATTTAGGACTCAAAACAAATTTCTAAATAATTAAGCTTATGATGAATCCTAATGGTTTTAGAAATACAGTTAAAATAAATGGACCCTCCACATGATCATTGGGTCCGCAGATAAGGCTTAGTTTGGACCCAGTTTAGAAATTTGGCCATAACTTCTTCGTTTTAAGTCGGATTTGGGCTTATAATATATCGTTGGAAAGCTCTTTTCAAGCCTCATCCAACTTCACAATTATTGGACCCAATGGACCAAAATAAACTGGTTTGGACGTTTTTATAAAGAGGACCCGAAATGAATGATTTTGTGTTTAAAGGCACGAAATAAATGATTTTGGCTTAAAACTTTTTTAGGAAAGGTTAGAAATGGTCAAGGCCTAAGGGAAATTTACGGGACTCTTCAACTCTTCACCTAACTCGATAATGAAAGACGTGAAAGGTACTCATCACTAGGTCTGGTTTTTGAAGAGACACAATTAGGTGTCTACAATTATAGATTCAATAATTATCATATAAAATTATTTTTTATATTATATGTTTTTTGGAGCGAAGGAAGTAGTTCAAAGCGTACAACATTCATTTATAATATATTCTAATTAATTGAAATAAAATACTTCACAATATAATACTCTGTTGGATTTTATTAATGTATGTAAACCTGTCAATCGGGTCGGGTCACTTTAGGTCATGGGTCAAGAAATGTTCAACTCTATAGTTTCGGGTTCAGGTCAACCTAACAGGCTTAGAATAATTTTTATTTTATTTATTTTTGGCGAATTTTTAGGAATTTATTTCAAGCTTACTTTGCTAATTTTTTTAATCGAACATTCTCACCATTATTATTATTAGTCATTACATGTCTATTACATAATTTAAATCACAAAAGCACATCAATTCAATTCCTATTTAATTTTGTATTAATGATATATTTTAAAATTTGGCATATAGATAAAAAGTTTATCTTAAAATTCAATAAACAACCCAGACATCGCACGGGGTACAAAACTAGTTAGATGATATAAAAGTAAACTCTCTATACCAGTATAATTGAGACATTAAACTTTATGCAAATGTCAATGTACTAGTTTGACTTTATTTTCACATAAGTTAATATTAATGAAAATTATTTTAAAAAAATTTATATTATGAAACTTTATATCAACACCTATCTAACAACATATTTTATGATAAAAGATGTTATTATGTTAATAAAAAACTATATTCAAAGTTAATATATGAATAGTGAAAAAAAGTCAATTGTCTCCAACTTTTGAACTACCTAAACTGCCCCTTAAAGGTGAACAAAAAAACTTTTGAACTACCTAAATTGCCCCTAAAAAAATGATTTACCCATTAAATTTCACCTAGCTTGAGAAGTATAAAAGCACAATCAAATAACGTTATTTTCCTAAATTTTAAATAACTATTCGATTAATAAGAAAAATAAAAATTATTTACATAAATATGTCAATCAATTAACTTTTAACTTTTAACTTTATAAATAATCAATATTTTTGTCTCAAATTTGGATTTTTTTTAAGTCATATTTTATTTATTGTTAAATTGATCACTAATGCGGTTTAAAAAAAAAAATTAAAAAAAATCGATCACTAATGCTATAATAATTCTATCATTTTAAATATTCCCTCCGTTATATGTTACTCGCAACAAACTAGAAGATTGCAGACTATTAGGCAAAAGATTGAAGGGGTGTTAATTAAAGGGAAGGGTATGTAATTAATTAAGTGGGATAAAAAAGCTGAGAAAGTTAGTGGACCCAATTTTTTTTTATGGGAAACATGTGACTAACATTTGGGAGGGATTTTTTCCCTCCTTTTTTTTCAGCCCTCTTTTTATTGAGGCTGCTTTTTATACCTCTTTTTTTCCCTCCAAGTTTTTTTTATGAAATTTCAAATTTAGTTCAAATTTTCACATTCATTCATTTATCATTTTCGACTTCCAAAGCACCTTATAAATAGGGGATAGAACAGTTCAAAGACGCCAAATCCTTCACCACAATTTTCTGGGATTTAGGGGGGTGGGGGTTGGGGTGGGTGGGAAAACAATGCGAGTACCATTGTTTAGTTACAAAAACAAACAGTTAGCCAAA